AAGCAACAGGGTTGACTCCTTCAATAATTTGCCCTCCAAAAATCATTATAGTCATCGGGGTGAAGATAATAGGATCCTTACTAATGATTTTACTCTATCTCCATCTATTTTTAGATCAACATTACATTGTTGACTCAGATTTGGATTCTCCCCTCCATCCTATGTTCTTACTACTATGGGGCTGCATCTAGACTGGCAAGTTTTTCCGCAAAAGCAGCCACTTTTGCGCAAAAACTTGCCAGCTGTCTACACTGGCTGCTTGATTTTGCGCAAAAGCACTGACATTCTACTGTCCGAAATCAGTGCTTCTTGCGCAAATGCTTTGACGTTCCCGTTCGGGCAAAAGCCCTTTTCCGGAAATGTTTTTGCACAAGAGGGCTAGTGTAGACAGCTAAAAACTGTTTTGCGCAAAAAAGCCCCGATGGCAAAAATGGCGTTCAGGGCTTTCTTGCGCAAAACCACGTCTAGATTGGCATGGACACTTTTCCGCAAAAAGTGCTTTTGTGGAAAAGAGTCCCTGCCAATCTAGACGATCTTTTCCGCAAATGCTTTTAACAGAAAAACTTTTCCGTTAAAAGCATTTGCGGAAAATCATGCCAGTCTAGACATAGCCTGGGAATTTAATTATTTTGTTCATTGACATGTAACAAATGATATTCAGTAATACACTCAAAGTAGCGCCATCATACCTCATGGCTAGCTTGCTGTCTTTGGCCTTCTTTTCTGAAACACAGTGGTATCTTAGTCATCTGAGTATTTCAATTGTGGTACCATTTATGGTACATATAAATTGTTCCTGCATGCCTTACATATGTAATTCTTCAGCTGAAATGTCCCAAATTCCCACTTAAGTCAAAAGAGCTACTCATGTACGTATGAATTGAGGAGCATAATGATACCGTAGGCTATCCCAAAACATATTGGTGTCCTATTCCCTCAGTTTTGCTTTTTTTCTGTTTATTACATAATAGCATACTACAGATTTGTCTCTATTGTTCTCATTTGAACATCTGTGATGATGGTTGTCTCACATGACCTTCTCATAAAGAAATCAGGGAAAGAAATTCCAGATGAACCTAGCATAAAGTAGATGCACAACAAGGTGGAAAACCATATCCAGGCAGTAATTATCAATGACTCAAGTCAAGGTGGAAAGGCAAATGGGGTCCTGCAGGGTTCTGTTTTAGGTTTGGTATCTTCCTACATGATTTAGCTAATGGCATGGAGAGTCTTAGGTTTGGGTCTACTCAATATCTTCCTACATGATTTAGCTAATGGCATGGAGAGTAGTTACAAAGTTTGCAGATGATAGCAAGCTGAGGGGAGTTGCAAGTTCTCTGGAGGACAGGATTAGAATTCAAAATCATGTTGAGAAATGGTCTGAAATAAGACTGTCATCCTGGGTTAGACCAAAGGTCCATCTAGCCATGTATCCTGTCTGCTGATAGTGGCCAATGTCAGATGCCCCAGAGGGAAAAAAAACAGGTGACCCATCCTTTGTCACCCATTCCCAACTTTTGACAGAGTTTAGGGACACCATGATGGAATTCAGATGAAATCCAATTAGGACAACAGCACTTAGGAAGAACTAAACGACTGCACAAATAGAAAATGGGAAATGACTGCCTAGCTGGGAGTTCTGCAGAAAAGGATCTGAGGGTTATAGTACATCACAAACTAAATCTGAGTCAACAATGTAATACTGTTCCAAAAAAAGCGCAAATACCATTTGGGATGTATTAGCAAGAGTGTTGTAAGCAAAACGTGAGAAGCCATTCTTCCACTCTGCTCTCATAATGTCTCAGCTGGAGTACTATATGCAGTTCTTGGCACCACACTCCAGGAAAGATTTGGAAAGGAGAAACTTGAGAGGCCAACAATGAAAATGATCAAAGATCTAGAAAACATGACCTAAAAAGAAATATTGGGGGGAAAAACTGGTGTGAGAAGACTGAGGGGGTGTGAGGAAACATGAGTACAGTCTTCAAGAACAGAAAAGATTTTATAATGATGAGGAGGATAAACTGTTCTCCTTAAGCACTAAGGCCAAGACAAGAAGCAATGGCCTTAAATTGCAACAAGGGAGATCTAGGTTAGACATTAGGAAAATCTTCCTAATTGCAAGGGTAGTTAAGCACTGGAACAAAGCACTCAGGGATGTTGTAGAATCTCCCCCAGTGGAAGTTTTTAAGAACAAATTACACAGGTATGGTCTTAGCCCTGCCTCAATGAAGGAGATTAGAATAGATGTACCATCAAGTCCCTTCCAGTCCTACATTTCTAGGACTCAGAGTATCTACATTTAGCTGAATTCACCATAAGAAAAACGTATTGTTCAAATTCCTGTTTTTAATGTACTCAAGATATGACCTTATCTAATACTGAATCTTTTTGTATTACAGAATAACTGAGAAGACTGAGATATGCATGCAATGTTCTGGATTTTTATTTTATTTTACTGGAAAAAACCACTTACAGGTTTATTGATGATTAATCATTCTTTGGGAACACCAAAATATCAAATACATAAGGATAAAATGCCCATTCTTCCAGTATGCACACCATATTTACCATAGTAACCATATATTGCAGAATAGCTAGAGAAGAAGATTTCTTAAAATGTTTAACTTTGTAGGCACACAGACAAAAAAGGAAGACAAAAGAAATATTACTAATAAAAAATGTTTTAAACCATGGATTTAGTATTAAAAAGTTATATAACTTGAGCATGTCTTAAGTTGTATTTATTTCTGTATAATAAATAAGTCCAATTCTAGTCTTCCTTAAACTCTAAGGGTATGTCTACACTACCCCGCTAGTTCGAACTAGCGGGGTAATGTAGGCATACCGCAATTGCAAACGAAGCCCGGGATTTGAATTTACCGGGCTTCATTTGCATAAGCGGGGCGCCGCCATTTTTAAATCCCCGCTTGTTCGAACCCCGTGCAGCGCGGCTACACGGGACACGAACTAGCGGGGTAGTGTAGACATACCCTAACAGATAGTTGATGATTATTCATGCATGTACAGCCCTGTTAACACTGTACTACTATTTACTTGGTAAATGAAAAAGTGAAGTCCTTCCATCATCCACATGAGATCATGGATATGGAGCAGAAATAGTTACTATTTTGATTACAATGTATCAAGTGTGGTTATTTGGATGTTTGCATGCTCCAAATGGTGATTACCAACACACAGTGACATGCAAGAGATTCCTTGGGTATGTAGGTTCAAATTCTGACATTATGAAATTGTAAGAAGAGTTGTGGAATGATTTATTTGCTTCTGATGGAGTCAACCTCTTTTCTGCATACAGCTAAATTGTTCCTGCTAAAGACTGCTTATCTGTATACTTGTGACATTATTTCAGAGAGTATGTTTTCTTTCCTTTGGAATAGACCAGATTGCACAAAATTTAACTGGCATTTTAATTTTTTTTCCTGGGAAGGGTATCTATAGTTCCCATTACTCCTATGAGTTCTTTAATTCAACAACTACAGATTGAACCCTATGCATTACTATCAACTTCCATGGAATATTTTTCAGAAACAAAGTATAAATATTTCAGCAAAGGGCTGTATGGTAGATTTGGGTTGATAGCATGCCTGAAAAAAGTGTCCGTTCCTGACTTGACTCTCAGGAAAAGTTGCATTAATTGCAGTAGGACTTCAGATATGTTTTCATAGTTGGGCTCTTTCTTGAGTGATGCTGCCTTCTTCCTTAGTTATGAGCAAGCATTTGAATTTCAATGGGAAATGAACAAGTATTTGCCAATCTGTATTCCAAGGCATCCATAAACCCAATATAAGCAAGAAATTCTGGGGAGCTTCTTATTAAAATATTGAAAGCACATCATAGTATACACAAAATTCATGTTGCCCCTGAAAGATCTCTAAAAGGGAATGAAATTTGGCCCCACTGTAGTAAAAATTATACCTGTACTAGCAAAAAAGGTATCTTCTTATAAAGAAGGTAATATATCCCTTTGGTGGAGTATCTGTTGAACAGCACCCATCTCTAACATTGTGATATAAAGCAGACGGTTGTGGCATATCGGTAGAGTATAACTCTACATGTAGATCTAACAGAGTAAAGGCCGTAAACCAAACTGTTCATATCATCACATTGGTTTTGGAGGCCATGTTTTCCCATATCAAGGCTATTTCCCACTCTGGCACTCCAAGAGCAGAAGGTGCGGGCCTGCAAAAGACCTTAAAATTACTTTGCCTCTGTAGGCTTCTGCTTATAAGCACCCCAAGGTCACAGATTCCTTGGTCTTGGGAGGCAGCTGACATGACCAAGTAAAACAAAAACCTCTTTTCTTCTTGAACCCAGGAAGAAAACTCTTGGACTTTTTCCAGGAGGGGTACCCCCAAGCTCTTTACCACAAGAGAGCTTGAAAAAAAACAACCCACCTGCAATCTCTGGTAGCTGACCTAAGTCTTAGGCTTGCATACACAGACCTTCTGTTACCTTCCAGGACACACAAATTAAATCATAGCCTTAAAAAAGGAGATTTTATTTACAAAACAAAAAGATATTCTTGGTAAAGCATACTTGGTTGCTAGGTGTTATAGAGCCACTGAGAAAAGAGCAAATTAAAACACAGAGAAGTTGTATCTCTGAGATCCAGCTTAAAAATACAGTGTACGGGGGAAAGGAAAGGCACGTGGGCTTAGCACAGAGAAATTTAACCAAACAACAACATAAAACAAAAATAACTTGATCATGACTAAATAGACTACTTACAATCCATGCTTCATGGTCCAGTCCATTTCCATGCTCAGTATTCCTTTTAGGCATGGTGTTCTGCTGGGTTCAATACATCTTGTTCCCCCAACTCCTGGCTTAAAACCCACACAAAGGAAAACAGCAGGCAGATATATCTTCCAATTTAAATTTGGACATCTTTTCCCATTGGGTCTTCTAGCTCGCTGCCAATACCCCTTAGTTACCTGAGTTTAAACTTTTAATCACTGAATGCTGGCTAGCACTCCTTCTATCCCTCACACCCAAGACACCAAGCAACCTAGTTTATGTTATAAAAGATATTCACATATCTCATGGAAAACCTGAGCAAATCAAACCCAAAGACTTCCTTTTTTAAATGACTGAATTTCATAACAAAATGAAATTGCTTACAAATTCAGAGGTCTATAATTTCCCATATTCTGTTTTAACTTAGGCTCATTTATTCCCACTGAAATCAGTGCTCAGGATTGTTGATCATCATTTTATATAGTGGCAGTTTGTATAGTTTATATTTGGGGTGGGCAAAAGGGCTTTCGTGGGCTGGATTCGGCCCGCCAAGTAGGTTGACCCAGCCCGTGGAGGCCCTGCGCTCCCCCGCCCCAATTAGGAGCACTAAACTTCCTCCTACCTTGGCAGGGCCACGCAGCGCTTTGAAGTGCCATGCGCGCCTCGCAGGGCGGGAGAAGATGTCATGCACTCCCCTGCCCCCAAGCCTGATTGGCCTGAGGGCAGGAGGCGAGTGCAAATTTTTGTCCACCCTTCCCCCACCCTGCAAGGAGCATGCAGTACTTCAAAGTGTCGTATGCTCGCACAGGGCAGGGACAGAGTGAAGGAAGCTTCGCACAGCTCCCCCAACTCCAGGCTGATTGGCCCGACTGACCTGCGGGTAGGGTGAGCACAAGAAGCCTTCTCCTGCCCTGCGAGGAGCATGTAGCACTTTGAAGGGCAGGGGTAGGGCAGGAGGAGGCTTCATGCACTCCTGCCCTCCCCCGCTCCCAGGCCAATTACGGCTTGGGGTGGGGGAGCTGCATGAGCTTCCTTTGCCCTGCCCCCACCCTACAAGGAGAACGCGGCACTTCAAAGTGCCATGTGCTCCTCGCAGAGCGAGAGGCTTCACTTGCTCCCCCACACCCAGGCCCTGATCGGCCTGGGGGTGGGGAACGTGTGAAGCCTCTTCCTGCCCTGCCAGGGGCATGGGTGACTAATGGGAAGGGGTGGCAAAGGGGCTCCCCCACCCCCAGGCCAATCGTGGTCTGTGGGTGGGGTAGCCCAGAAGCATCCTGGCCCCGCCTATTCCAGATTAGGCCCTGCCCCTTAAGGGGCAGCCCAGGGAAAAAATTATTCCCCACCCTAGTTTATATAGTGGCTTTGGGAGTGACTTTTTATCTGTACTATTACTGAATGCATAAAACCATCATTCATCCTAATTAATGTGCCTTTCAACCCCCAGGAAATCAATGGAAAATGTGAGGGCAGAAACCTAATGTAGTCAGTAGGCCTTTAAACAGATAGAATTGCAGTATTGGGGCAGGAATGGCCAATCCTTTGAGGTACTGAACACTTCCTAGAAGGTTCTCTGTGTGTGCAGTACCTGTCATATTCAGTGGGTACATTTGAAAAGTTTGTGCCTATTCTGGAGATATTATAAGTATTCTCCTTGTTAATCAATGAGAAAGGTGCCACAAGCTATAGTATTTTGAAAACTAGCAAAAAAGTGAGGCCACTTTTTTATTGAATGGTGATACTCAGCATCTCTACTAAATCTGAGTACACATACTTACTTACCCATACTAATGTTGTGTCTTCATTTTCGATGTGCTGATTTGACTAATAAATAATACATACCTTCCACTTGTTTAAAGCTATAAACTCTAATGAGAAAAATAAATGGATAATAGTTCATGGAATTCCAAATCATATACAATGTCATAAATGGGAAGACTATAAGAAAGGAAAAATATGGTACATCTTTAATTTTCTAAAATAAATTTATGGGGGGAGGGGGGGAATTGACAGCACAATTATTTTCTACTTCCACAAAGTTAATATATTTTAATATCTACCTTTCAAAAGCTTCTTCTATGGGAGATCCATCAGTAAACTAAATCACTTACAGGTTTATTTTTAATTGATCTAAAAGCCACATTTTAGGCAAGCCATTTAGCCTATACCTGGTTTGTTTACATAAAACCAAATATTTATTTTTAAGGTAACTAAACAAACCATGGCTACATCAACACTGGCATGATTTTCCGGAAATGCTTAAAACAGAACAGTTTTCTGTTATAAGTGTTTCTGGAAAAAGCGCGTCTACATTGGCAGGATGCTTTTCCGGAAAAGCACTTTTTCTGGAAAAGCGTCCGTGCCAATGTAGACGCACTTTTCCTCAAAAAAGCTCAGATCGTCATTTTCGCGATCGGGGCTTTTTTGCAGAAAAGAAATCTGTGCTGTCTACATTGGCCCTTTTCCGGAACAGTTTTCCGGAAAAGGACTTTTGCCCAAACGGGAGCAGCATAGTTGTTCTGGAAAAACACTGATGATTTTACAGTAGATAATCAGTGCTTTTCCAGAAATTCAAGGGGCCAGTGTAGACAGCTGGCAAGTTATTCCAGAAAAGCGGCTGATTTTCCAGAATAAGTGGCCAGTGTAGAGACAGCCCTCATGTTCAAATACTATTTCAATGGGATTTTAATAATTCTCCTTGGCTTCCTTGAAAATGCCTGCCCAGGTGATTACCATGTGTTGCCTACCATGACTATTGCTAACTCTACCCACAGATAATCTGTATTGGTGATCCACCTTACTCACAGAGTGCAAAGTACCTTAGTCCCTGTAGTTAGAAGGTGCTCAAATGTGAGAGAAGCTAGGGCCCACACCCCATGAAAAGCAATATGAACAAGAATAACATGCAGATCTTAAGACACATGATATACAAATGAACATAGAAATATAAAAAGCTCTGTATACATATACCCAGAGAATACTGATAAAGACAGCATACCTCTTAAGCAAAGAGAACTTTCAAGTGCACTCAGCTATGACATATATAGCAGTTGAGGCCACTTAGAAACTAATGGACAAAGTCCGCCCTTTAAAACACAGGTGTGATCACTACAGAAGTAAAATACATGCCATAAATAAATAGGGAGTAGATCAGCACAATTTTGTGGCTGAACTCACTCTTGGAGGAGCTGTACTTTTTTTATGACATCCTCAGAGCTTTAAAGAAGTTATAGATTCACATTTACTCAAGGAGGCTGAAGAGGATGTAAGGAGCAAACTTTACAGATAGCAGCCTGTCAGTCCTTGTCCTTTGTTAGCTCAGTTGGTATTTCTTTATTTTTTGCCTTTGAGATCTCTTTCCTACATACACTGTCAAATTATGGCAGGAGGAAATCAAACACTTTAGAAAGAGATTTTATTTCTCAGTTTCATTTGTCAGCCTGTGCAAATATCACCACTAGTTAGAACTGCAGCCAAAAGAAACTCAAATACTTGGGGAATAATTAGTCATTTATTTATTTGCCTTTCAATCACTGTACTTCCTTTCTGAACAATCCCTTTCCTCTGTAAGTTTCCTGCTTCTGTGTCCACTATATATCCTTCATTTTTTATATCTATATGTGTATGTGTGGGTGTGGGTGTCTTTTCTCACCTTGCTTTTATACCATGCCATGCTGTTACTGCCTAATAAGTTTGGTCTTGGACATCCACAACATTACACCTGCTCAAAATGAATGTAAAGGGCCCCAAATAAGGAATCTCCTCCATTACGTGGATTGTAGTAGTTTAAACACACTTTGTACTCAGTCTGCACAGCTGTAAATGACTATACAACATGCAAGTCCATGGAGGGCCTGACCCTTTGTATACTACCCTTTGCCAGCAATAGCTGAGAAGAGAACTGATTGGACTTGCACCATTTTCACATTTTACTGCTGCAAGAGGTACTTTAGGGAACAACAATGAAACTGGCACTGTCAACCATTATGAATTTCTAATGGGAGCATAGGGGTGCATGAGGATACCTTCAACCTCATACCAAATTTAAACTCCACAATGAAACACTTTTTAGCTAGTCAGAGAGCTCTCTACATCTCAATAAACACCTCCGTAAAACCAATGTGTTATTTTCCCCTACATGCTTTTACATATTATAATTTAGTATAGTTAGTCCTACTTAATGCAAAAAACAACCACCCTATTTCACAGGAGCACAATAGCTGTGTTTTGATATAAAAGTTAGTATTAAATGAATGTCTACACTTTAATACAGAAATTAAATGTGTTGTTGTATGAACAAATATTACTCTTTTTGTTTGTCCTGCCCTATTGATGGTCAAATAGAACCAAGAACAGTAGACTTCCGATAATCTGGCACCTTTGGGACCCAGGTGGTGCCGGATTATCAGATATGCCTGAGTATCAGGAGGTACTCCGGCAGGGGGGCTGTGACGGGTCTGCTGGGACTCACACTGTGACCGGCGAGGAGGGGCGGGGGGTCATCAGGCAACGGCACGGTGAGGGGCGAACCCTCCGCTGTTTTGCATGGAGGCGGGGGGAACCCCGGGCAGCCGCTGGTGACAGGCCAGCTGGGGCTGCAATCGGCAGCAGCAGACTTGCGGAAGTGACTGATCAGAGCAGCTGGGGTGCTGTCGGGTTGGTTCCGCAGCGCCACTCAGGTGAGGGGTGGCGCTGCGGGACCAACCCGGCCGCCCCCCAGCTACTCTGCCCTGCCGCTTCCCCAAGTCCACCGCTGCCGCTTGCAGCCCCCG